GCCTGGCTCCCTGCAAACAGACAGCTGCGGGGTCGCCATGTCAACCACAGCACAACACAGGGCCATCCCCCTCAGACCAGCCACCCCAACCCGGGACCAGGCTGGGAGCACCCAGCACTCCATCCCAAAGCTGGGATACATATGTCAAAGGGACATGTATGCCAGGCAGCCATCACCACACTCCTCCTGCCAGCATCACCCCTCTCTGCTGCCGGAGCCCAGCTCGGGGTCAGGTGCTCTTGAACAGTTCCCAGGCTGTGCCTGAGGGACACCTGAGGACATTTAGAGCCTCTGGCTCCCCAGCTGGTGGATGCCCAGAGCAGATGGGTACCCAGTGGGTGCTCGGGGTGGATAGTTCCTGGGGGGTATGTGTACAGGAGCAGGATCTGTGCCTGGATCTGGGGTGTCAGAGAAGGAGTGAGTGGCAGGGCCGGGTGTGGCTTTCGTCTAGCCCTGCTGCTGTGAGCAAAGGGCAGTGCCTTGGCGTGCCACAGCTATTCCCGGCACAGCAGAACTTCCAGAAAAAGCTCCTGATGGCTATATCCGGGTGGGCTCTGACTCACCCCTGGCTGGGTGCCAAGGGCTGCAAAGCACCTGCCATGGTTGCCCCCTACCCCATCACTGTGCTCCTGGGAAGACAGTGCTTCTGTCCCCATCCTGCGCTGCCCCCTGGGTCATCCAGTGCAGCAGGGAGCCACAGGCAGCCCTTCCAAAACGGCATCAGCTCCTCCTCTGCATGTATGCACCCTACTGCTGGGCTCATGCGTGTGACAGGGACAGGACCAGTAACGACAGGGCACTGTGGTCCTTCCTATGTCCCCTGGCAGCCTCGGTGGGGTTCTGGGCAAGCTTTGCTGTAAGAAGCATTCCCTGCTGGCAGTAGGCTCTGGGGATGGGCAGGCAGTGCTCAGCCCTCCCTGCTGGAAGGGGTTAATGGAAAGATGGCCCAGGACAAAGACTGTAAACAGCAGAGATTCAGGAAGTGCCACCCCCTTCTCCCATTGCCTGCCAGGCTGCCTGAACCCCCCCCTTGCTGGCCCTGCCAGGATGAGCAAAGGGATGGCATCCATCGAGGCGGTCCCCCGCATCCCGGCCCACGTGTCTGAGCATGGGAAAGTGAAATCACTGCCCAGGAATTGCTGGAGGCTGGGTGAATGGCCACCATGCCTTACGTGAGCCATCAGCGATGCAGCGGGTAATGCTACCTCATCTCACTGGCATGGGTGATGCTATCGAGGCCTGCAGCATCCTTAGGGAACCTCAGCCACTCCATCATCCCCATGTCCACACAGATAACAAGGGCAGCTGGGCATCTTTAGTATCTCCACACCAGTGGGGCAGCTGAATGTCTCCATGGACCATGAGGGCAGGTGGACACCCTTTAGCCTGCCCCTAGGCAGCAGGGATGGGGGAACATCCCCAATATCCCCATGGACCACAGGGCCAGCTGTGAGTGATGGGGTAGGTGTGTGCTTCAAGCATCTGCATAGACATGGAAGTAGTTGCTCTCCACCATCATCTACATGACTCAGGGCAAGAGCTCACCCCCAGCATGCTCATGAAACATGGAGGCAACCACTCGTCTGGAGGACATACAAAGATGGAGACAAGTAAGCAAACACCTCCCAACATCTATACAGGCTGCATCTGGACACCCCTGGAATCCATGCTTGCCATGGGGGCATCCAGGCACCCCCAGCATTCTGTGCCACTCACAGACAGGACAATGTCCTCAGCATCCCCTTCACCTGGGGATATGGGGGTGGGGACCAGCAGCAAACAGGCAGTCTGTGCACCCTCTGGTCCTGAGCTCTGGAGTGGGCAAAGGCATGGGGGCAGCTGGGATGAACAGCGGGCATGGGGGGGACTAGAGACTTTACCCACCAGCTCCTGGGACACCATCAGGCTAGGCTAGGCCTTGGTCCAGGCAGGGAGGGAGAGCCACCTCCTATTTAGACAATAGCACGCGCCCTGGATCCGTCAGCACTGGGGAATGGACCACACAGTTCTTCCCTCTTAGGGTAAAGGCGTCTGGGAGGCTCATGGCTGTAAAAGGAGTGGGATGAAGGAAGACAGCCAGGGTCAGGAGGGAGGGGGATGGACACCCCCGCTGCTTCATTCCCATTCCTCAACTCACCCTTGAGCTAAGGCCAGGCATAAGGGGGCACTGAGTCCTGGTGGCAGGGTATAGGGACAAGGAACCTGTCCCCACATCCTGTCTAGCTTCAAGCCCCAAGATGCTTACAGCCCAAGGATGCTGTGCTGGGTTTAAATCCTGGGGGAACAGCAGGGAGGGAGGGCCAGGAAGGAGGGGCAGCTGCAGGATGCAGCTGGCTTTGCTCACAGGGATGTCATAACCAGAGGGAGTTGTTTGACATTCCAGCTCCAAACGCCTTCCCAGAAGGCAAAAGTCTCATCCAAGATTTAATGGAAACTGGGACCAGGCCAGTGCGGGGGTTCAGGAGCCACTTCCCAGGCTCTGCCGGTCTGGGTCAGCCCGGCCTGGGATGGAGCTGTGGGGAAGCTGCACGGGGCTGGACAGAACAGGAGGCAGCCCTGAACTTCTCACTTTCTGCAGCCTCTGGGTCTTTAGTTGGCACAGAGTGTTTGGCATCTTATCCCTGGGATGGGATTCAGGCAGGGTCTCTGAGTCCTGCACTTCATCCCCCCTTCCTGTCATGCTGGGTCCTCTAAGCAGACAGGGATTTCCTAAGAGGCTTGTCCACCCTCTGCAAGACATGGGGCCCCCGCTTGCCCAGAACCTTACCGGAAGGCTGTCACCACAGCTAAGGAAAGACCACTTAAAACAGTCTGCCCTAGAGCAGGGTCAAGAGGATGCTCCTGATTAACCCCTCTGAGCTGCTTCCCCTTCAGAAAGCAGTGCCCAAGAGCGCATTTCCCCTCCCTGGTGCACCCCAACCCCGCACCCCCCCGCTCTGTGGGATGAGGATGGGAACAAGGGCGACCCAGGCCTGAGGTGGGATTTGCATCAACCAGGCACTTCTGGACACAGCTGAACATGGCTGAACTCTGTTCCTAGTGGTGTCCTGTCCCAGATGCCCTGAGTGCCCCTCATGGGCCACCCACCTGCCCCTCTGCACACCAGCTAAGGGCCGGCTTGGCTGGCACTTGCGGCACAAGCAGGGCACACGTGCGGGGCTCTGAGATGCACAGGGCATACTCGGAATGGGGCCAGAAGGAGAAAGGATGCTGTCTGTTTTTCCATCTACTCTCCCCCCACAAGCCCCCCCTTTCTTCCATTCTCTCCCTGTGCTGGGATGAAACAACCTCATCTGGAAATACCTTCCCTTTTAAAGGCAGGCTCCTCCAGGCAGCTTGTATTCTCTGGGAAGACACTACATCACTCTGCAACTTGGTGGCTGGGAGAGACTCCAGGAATGGGGGCTTGGAGGAGCAGAAGGGATGCAGGGCATTGAGTATCTGCCCACCTGCATGTCTGTGGGACCGAGACTTTAGCTGGCTCCCCAAGTGACACGGAGAAGGGAGGCAGAAGAGAAGAGCTCCTCCCAGAGCCAGGGCAGCTGAGTATGCTTCCATGAACAAGCCCGAACCTTTGCCTGATGCTGATGTTGCCATGGGTGAGCCATGGCATTGCTTGCCTTCTGTGTTCCAGCCAGGACAGAAGGCTGGGAGGTGCAGGGCCAGGCAGGGTTCAGTGATGTCCTGCTGCTGAGTCACCCTGTGCCCAGTGGCACAGCGGTCCCCTTCACCAGGCCCTTCACGGACAAAGGGACTGGGGCTGAGCCAGCTGACGTCAGCCAAAACAGCCCAGCTTGGACAGGGCTGGGGTCACCAGGTGTGCTGGGGAGTTTGGGGAGCAGGGGGTGCTGCACAGGCAAGGGGAACCCTCATGAGGGGTTCCCTCAGCACAGGTGTCCTCCCTTAGGATGTCCTTTTCAGCTGTCATGGGTTTGTGCAAGGCCCTGAGGGTCCCTGACCTGACCCACTGCTTGTCCAGGAAGCTGTAATGGGGGTTTTCAGACAGACTTAGAAATTCCCCATTCTGGGAGGTTTTGGGGAGCAGGGCTGGGCTTTCTGATCCTCAGTGTACTTCCTGGCCAAGGGGGAGACTGAGGAGACAGGGCAGAGCCTGCTGTGTCTCAGGATAACCTGGGGACCACGTTCTGCTCTTAGGGTAACGGGGATCAGAGAGGGGCTAGGGCTGCTCTGGGCAGGGTTGCCATCCAGCTGTGCTCTCCACACGCCTGGAGCAAGAAGGGTTAACAGAGTGCCTCCCCCACTATAAATACCACTTATGTATGTCCCACACCCCACGAGTATGAGCTGGGAAGGCTATTTTGGTTGAGTGCCTGCTGCTTTGGGAATGTGCCGGAGAGAGGACAGGGGCTGACGTCACCGTCACTGGGGCTCGGACCCAGCACCTGCTCGGGGTCACTCAGCAACACTCCCAAAGCACCCACACCCTGGCCAATGCTCAGTCCTCCATGTCAGAAAGAGATTTTGGGTGGTGGGTCAGTACAAGCATTCTCAGGGCAGGGGTCCGCCCATATCCCCTCTCCAGGGCCCTTCCTTGCTCACTTTCTGGATGAGGGGGGCTGGAATCTGGCCCCACATGGAGATCTGAGCCTGGTGCTCTTGCTCAAGACCAATTTGGGGACCACGGTTGTGAAAGTTCCCTTCTTTCCCTTCATGGAGTCAGCCTAGGCTGTCTGTCTGTCTGTCCGGGCTCCCTGTGGCTGGCAGTACATCCTGATAGGGGGTTCACCACCAGTCTGCCCCACTTCCTCCCCTCGCACCCCCAGAGACGAGGCAGAGGAGTGGGGGCGGGTGTCAAGGCCTCACCAGGGAATTCTGGGGGTTCCAGAGGTCCTTCTGTGCCGGGGGGTGTGGGCAGGTGAGGGTCAGTGGGCGGGGGCTGCCGGCCATCCCCCCCGCGGCAGCATCCCCCGGCTGCCCGGCAGCAGGAGGGGCGGGTGATGTCAGCAGGATACAAATAGCGGCGCGCGGTCCCTTCCCGACGCCTCTCCGAGCTGTGCCGGCCGCTCGCCAGCCCTCTGCCTGCTCCCTGCTCCGGCCTCGCCTCCCCACGCCGCCACCATGAGCCAGTCCTACTCCTCCAGCCAGCGGGTCTCTTCCTACCGCCGGACCTTTGGCGGCTCCCCGGTCTTCTCTCGTGCCTCCTTCGGGGGCAAGGGCAGCAGCGGCAGCTCCGTCACCTCCCGCGTCTACCAGGTGTCCCGCACCTCGGCTGTCCCCAGCCTGTCCACCTTCCGCACCACACGCGTGACGCCCCTGCGCTCCTACCAAAGTGCCTACCAGGGTGCCGGCGAGCTGCTGGACTTCAGCCTGGCTGATGCCATGAACCAGGAGTTCCTCCAGACCCGCACCAACGAGAAGGTGGAGCTGCAGGAACTCAATGACCGTTTCGCCAACTACATCGAAAAGGTGCGCTTCTTGGAGCAGCAGAATGCCCTCATGGTGGCCGAGGTAAACCGCCTGCGGGGCAAGGAACCCACCCGCGTGGCTGAGATGTACGAGGAGGAGCTGCGGGAGCTCCGGCGCCAGGTGGACCTCCTCACCAACCAACGGGCTCGTGTGGAGGTTGAGCGTGACAACCTGCTCGATGACCTGCAGAAGCTCAAGCAGAAGTGAGTATGGGGCCCCCTGGAGAGTCCCTGTGGGCATCCATCCGTGTATCTTCATCTCTAGGGGTGGGTGGGGGGCAGAGCTCGCCCTGACAGCTTCTCAGGTGCTTACTGCTATCCTTGTGCCTTGTGCTCAGAGCCCATCATGACCCCAATACTCCGTCCCCCTTGACCACTTTCTGGTTGCCCAGGCAGCACACAGAGGGTAGAGTGGCTTCCACAGCAGGGGTGTCCCCTATGCCCCACCTTGCAGTGAGGCTGAGGCCGGGCTGTAACTCCCACCCAAAGCTGGGAGATCAGAGTGCACCTCACCCCGGGGTCCCCATCTCTGCTCACACTGGGGAGGGCTACTGGACTCATGGGTGAGCTGAACTCTGTGGGATAGATGGACAGACAGATGCAGGCAGGCAGAAGCGAGGGGACAGATAACCAAGGGAGAGTGCTCCGTCAGCTCCAGACATGAAGGAGGGAGGGGAGGAAGCAGCTGCTCTTCCACAGGCCAGAGATGCTCCAGGCCTGCTGTGAGTGTCCATGGTGCCCTGTGAGCAATGGGACACCCCAGAGATGCTGCGGACCTGGCTGGTGCTGGGAAAGAGAATGAGGATTATCCACAAGGGTGGCCAGGCTGAGGGAACCCTCAGGGGCTGAAGAGCGTGGGGAACCTGGAAGTAGGGGCAGATATTCAAGGGGAGCTGTATGTTCTGATGATGGTCTGCGCCTTCCCTCCTGGACCATGCGCCCTGGGGACATCATTCCCTTGGGGTGGCACAGCCTGCTGCCTCATTCTGTAACCCCAGCCACCACCACAGACGGCCAGTGCTGGGGTCCTCCCTGATGCTAGGGAGCTGGGGGTGGTGACATGAAGGAACTCTCAGCGACAGGGGAGGAGCAAGGCCCAGAACAAACGGGTGTTAGGTTTCTGCTGACCCATGTGCCAGCACCACCTGGGCGCCTCCATCTCCTCCCCACTGCCTTTGCACTGACATCCATCCTGTGGTACTGTCCCCTTCCTTGACACAAGTTTGGATCTTCAGCCCTAACCTGAGCCTCTTTCACAGCAGTCCCCATTTCACATCCCATCCCACCCACAGCATTGCTGAAATCTATCTGTGTTCCTGCTCTCCCTGGGATAGCTCAGCTGGTGGCTACCTCTTGGACCCCGTGTGTCAGATCCTGCACCCTGTCCCCCCAGCTGCTGGTCACTCTGCCCTATAAGGACTGGGGCAGTGTGCGTGGCACTGAGCTGACCTCATGTCTTTGTGATCTCTCCGGCGTTGACTATAATAGGGAATGGGAGGAAGAGCCCCTGGCCCCCTGCCAGTCCTCTGCTGCCTGCCGGGAACACAGGACAATCTGTTTTCTTCCTACCGGGCCATGCTGGGCTTAAGGACAGCTCGGGGGGTGTCACCACGGAGGGACGGAGCTTCCTCCAGATCCCCTAGCCTCTTTTGTCTGCCTACAGGCTGCAAGAGGAGATCCAGCTGAAGGAGGAGGCTGAGAACAACCTCGCTGCATTCAGAGCTGTGAGTACCTGCCCTTTAGTGTAACATGGGAACCCTACCCTCCTTCCCACCCCCATGTTCCCCCAGCAGTCTGGCCCCAGTGCCAGGACATGGTCTTGGACACTTTACACCTTTACACTTTACACCTTCTAGCCCTCGTGCTCTCCCTGCAACCCCTCACTATCCCTCATTCCGTCCCTCTGTGTCCCTCCCAGGATGTGGATGCAGCCACACTAGCACGCATTGACCTGGAAAGACGTATCGAGTCCTTGCAGGAGGAGATCGCCTTCCTCAAGAAGGTGCATGAAGAGGTAGGTCAGAACTGGCACCCTTTTCCAATGGCACTCTGAGGTAGGGAAAATGGAGTGGGTGCCCTGAGATCTCACCTTGTACACGCAGGAAATCCGTGAGCTGCAGGCACAGCTGCAGGAGCAACACATCCAGGTGGAGATGGACATCTCCAAGCCTGATCTGACAGCTGCGCTGCGGGACATCCGTGCTCAGTACGAGAGCATTGCTGCCAAGAACATCGCCGAGGCTGAAGAGTGGTACAAGTCCAAGGTGCAGGAGGCAGCGGGCTCTGGGCTGGCCCTGGCAGGGTTCCATCTCGGTGGCCATGCCCACTGACCATGGTCTCTCCCCAGGTGTCTGACCTGACACAGGCAGCCAACAAGAACAACGATGCGCTAAGGCAGGCCAAACAGGAGATGCTGGAGTACCGGCACCAGATCCAGTCCTACACCTGTGAGATTGATGCTCTCAAGGGCACGGTGAGCTAAAGGCAGCATTGGGAAGATCCAAGGCTTCTCAGGAACCTCTGGGACATCTCTGGGGTGGGGGACTCTTCTCAGCTCTCTGAGTTGCTGCTGCAGGGGGCCTTGTACCCCACGTGTGGGCTGCACCTCACTCAGCAGTGGCCTGGACTCCTGAAAAGTGTTTTGGCAGAGTCCTGGAATCAAAGTGCAGATTATAAAATGTGACCCAGCCTAGGAGGCTCCAGGCAGGCGGGCACAGGGCTCAGGGTGTCTGGTTGCATGCTGGCAAAGTGGTTGCGAACAAACAGGGCACAACAGTTCCATCCTGGCACAGTCATAGTCACAGGAGTCGACCAGCAGCCACCAGGCAGTTATCCAGTGCTTCTGCAGCTCTCTGTGCCCTCTTGCTAGGGTAGGATGGCTTTGCTGTGGGACTTAGGCACCAGGGTGCTGGGGTTGCCCAATACATGCCCAGCTTGCCCCCTTGAGACCCCGCTGCCTAGCGCTGGGCAAGTGGAGTGTTACAGTCGCTCATCATGCTCCCAAATCAGCTGAATCCAGCCCAGGGCTGACCATGGCTCTTCCCAGGATGCACTGGCATCCCCAGTTCCTGCCCTAGGTGACCCCTGGCTTCTCTGGGTTCCCCCCCTCACTGAGCACCCCCGTCTCTCCAGAATGACTCGCTGATGCGCCAGATGCGGGAGATGGAGGAGCGCTTTGCAGGGGAGGCTGGTGGGTACCAAGACACCATTGCCCGCCTGGAGGAGGAGATCCGGCACCTGAAGGATGAGATGGCCCGGCACCTGCGTGAGTACCAGGACCTACTCAACGTCAAGATGGCCCTGGATGTGGAGATCGCCACATACCGCAAGCTGCTGGAGGGCGAGGAGAACCGGTGAGTGGAAGGGAGCAGGACAAGCTGGGGGGACCAGCCGGGCCAGTGGGTTTTTGGGGGTCCAACTTTGTGAGGACACACCTGAGGGCTAAGGGCTGGCTGGCACTAAGCTTTCCCCTCTGTGTTCCCACAGGATCAGCATCCCCATGCACCAGACCTTCGCCTCTGCACTCAATTTCCGGGGTAAGCCTCAGTCCATGAGGAGGGGGACGAGTCCCCTGGGTTCCCCACTTTTGGGGAAATGTCCCTCCTGGGGGGTTGTAGCCAGACTGGCAGGTTGGGGACACACGGGTGCCACAAAGAGCCTTGGTATGGGGGCACTTGTTTGGGTGTTGCCGTGAGCTGAGAGGAGGTTGAACCAAGGCTGCTGAAGCTCCTCAGTGACCCCAGCCCCACAGCTGTGTCCCCATACCACATGTCCTTGTGATCCCATCCCGTGTCCTCCCCTTGCAGAGACCAGCCCCGAGCAGCGGGGCTCCGAGGTGCACACCAAAAAGACCGTGATGATCAAAACCATCGAAACCCGTGATGGGGAGGTGAGTGCAGGCTGGCACCGGAGGGTGGTTGGGAGGCAGGGGACAGAGGATGGCACCTGTTCCCGCACTCGGGGCTCTGGTATGGCACAGCACGGTGTCTCACTGTTCCTCTCTCCCGCAGGTGGTGAGTGAGGCAACTCAGCAGCAGCATGAAGTGCTGTAGACGAGGCTGCTCCAGCAGCCCACTGGCACCTTCTGTCCCTGTCTCCGTCCCTCTACCATGCCCCCCTCCTGCCCTCCACCTCGCCTCTCGGCGCTCCCCCCGCACTGCCTGAGGAGTCTCCCCCATGCAGCTGCCTCTGGCCCCCCACACCCCCTAGGCTCTCTCCTCCGGCTTCAAAAGGCTCGCTCTGCTTTTGCAGCTTCGCAGCGGCAACGCCAGCGTCAGGATCAGGCCAGGGCCGGGGGGCGGCAGGAGGGAGGGACGGGGACAGGTGGGAAGGGCTGGGGGGAGCAGGTGGTGGCCTGGGCCAGCTCCATGGAGAGCCGGACGGTCCCAGCAGCGGGTTCTGGATCCCCCCACAGGCCCCTTCCCACGCTGGGCACAGGCTTGGGGTTCATACCACGCGAGTGGGGACCCATTGCCCTCCCCCAGCACCGCTGGCCCCCCTGGAGCTGGCACTTCTCCAGGGGCATGGCGGCGATGCTAGGGACGGGGAGAAGCTAGGCGTGGTCTGGGCTGAGCCTCCTATTCTCTGCCCAGCTCAGAGCGAGGGGGCCCCCAGCCTGCGTGTCCCCCCCAGCCCAGGGGATCTCGGGCCCTTGGCTCCCCCCAGCCCCAGAGGCAGCCCCGTGGGGCAGAGGAGGGCAGTGCCCGCCCCTCCCCGTGGCGGGGACCCCCAGCAGCAGGAGGCTGCATGGGGCCAGGCTCATCAGCCGAGAGGGTACCCGTAGGTGGACACAGGAGAGAGGAGGAGTGAGTGAATGGGAGAGAGGGGGGAGAGAATGAGAGGAGCCGGAGAGAGGCCCGGGGGGTCAGGGCAGGCATCCCCAACCCTCGCCCCAATGCACCCCCACCCCACCACGTGTATGAGACTCTTCAGGCGGCTGAAATAAACAGCGGAGCATCACCCTGTCGTCTCAGTGCATCTCTGGGGCAGAGAGGGGATGGGGTGGTGGGAAGGCCGCACCTCGGGGAGGTATCACAAGGGCCAGGTGGATGGATGAGCCGGCAACTCTTTGGGCTGTCTCCTCCCTAGGCTGCTGGGCTCCCCAAAAGGTGCGTGTCTTTCACACTGAAGGTTCTTGAGCGTTTTGCTGCCTGAGGCGGTGGGTTTCCCAGTTTCACTGGGTAGGAAAGTCCTGCTGGGACAGGGAACAGTAACAGCTAAGCCCTGAGGGAGATGCAACACTGAGCAGGTTCGAAGGGGCTCTGGGTGATGGTCCTGTACCTCCCACACTCACCCAGGGTCACATACCATGTCCCGGTGGCTCTCAGCTCCACAGCCACCTCCTTTTTACCCCCACTTGGGACCTACCCAAATCCTAGGACTTTTCCAAGCCCCTCCAAGTGTCACCAACCTGCAAAGTCATCCTCATCCCTAAGCGACCTCCTCCCCTGTACCCTGTGAGCATCAGACCCACCACACTATGCTTGCATCCCAGGCTCGACCTCTGGCCTCAACCTGCCAACAACATATGCTCTCTTCCTCCCAACATACATGCCCCTCTCCCTGTGGTCACGTTGTGGGCATCTTGGCTTCAGCGCCTTCATCCCAGCAACGAGGGATGCTGCAGTGGAACCCAGAGTTGGGTTGTCAGGGGATGATGTTTTAGGGAAAGGCAAGTTCTACTGCCAGCAGTGGAAATGGGCTGGGGGTGTCCCTGATGGAGAGGCCAGCGTGGCAAACCCCCACTGGGAGGTGTTGGATCTCAAGGGATATCTCCAGCAGGTGGCCCTGTGACATCGAGGACAGTCCCCAGGTTGCACTGGATTGGGATGACACCTCCCTCCCTGCCGGCCCAGGCTGTCTGTGCCAGAGTTCAGCCCCTGGAAGCATGTTGAGTACAAAGCAATCCTTCGCCTGCAGGGCAGGGAAGAGGCCCCCAGGCCTCTTTTGGGGCTGGCTCAGCCACAGCTTGGGCCGAGCAAGGCATCCCACTCCATTGTGCCCCAGCCATCCAAGCTGGGAAATCCTGGGATTTTCTCCTTGCTAGTGATGCTCCACTGATGCTGGCACCCTTAGGCTGGTGGCAATGGGCTGTGCCAAAGCCATAGAGGCTGGCCTGCAGCTGGGAAGCACCGTGTCGTGTCCCTGGCATCCTGCTCACACAGATTTACAGCCCCTGGCGAGGGTGGCTGGGGCCAGGCGCCGAGGAGCTGCCATGGCTCCAGGAGATGGGGAAGCCCTGCCTTACCCAGGGATGGCCAGGCAGCATCTGGCACAGACCATCCCTGGCTGCTCACTGCCTGGAGCCCGGTGTATGGTAACTCCCACAGGGTGCCCCAAAGCCAAACAGCTCCAGCAAGGCTGGCCGGGAGCCACACTGCCCAGGGCTGAGGCAGGGGCCCACTGAGAGAAATAGAGTCTTGATGTGTTTGCAGCCTTCCAGGAAGGGAAGATTTGCGGTGATTAGGGATGCTGGGATTCCCATCTCTGCTGTTTGCTGGGAATGGAGCTAAGGAGCCCTGAAAAGCTGGCTCTTGCCCGGGCTCCAGAGCTGCAGGAAGCATGACGGTGTCCTTTCCCTCCACATGCCGTCAGGGTCTCTTGCTGACCTGATCCAATGACACTGCCGGAGAAGGGGAAGCGGGGGAGGAAAGCTGGGTCCCCCCCGAGCCTCTCAGCTAATATGGAAAGGTGCTGGCCCTTTTCTATCTTTGCAAGTGGAGCTGGGCTGCAGGGACGGGGCAGCAGGCGCAAAGAGGGGGAGCCCAGCCAAGGAATGTGACATATCAGAGGCAGCTGCCACTTCAGGAGAGGGGGCAGAGGGAGCGCAGCTCGCCGGGGGCTGCGCGGGACGGGACGGGTGAGGGGGGGGACGCCACGGCCCCAGCGCGGGGACGGCTCAGCGAGCGGGCAGCACCCGCGGGACTCGCACCCAGGCCGGCGAGGAGCAGGTGCCGAGGCGCTGGGCGGGCTTGGGGGTGCAGCAGAGCACGGGGTGTGAGTGCCGCACTGCACCGGGCGCTTGGTGAGTGGCGGCTGGGCGAGCAGGAACCCGAGTCTCAGCCTAAATATAGTCCCTTGCTTGCCCACAGTGCTGCGACCTTTGGGGCTGCAGCCTGTGGGGGGAAGCACCGAACCGGACGGCATTTGGACCGGGGGGTCGCCACTGCCCCAGCGCCCCAGTCAGGCACCCATCACCCCCAGACTGCAGGCAGGGGAAGAAGAAGGGCACAACGTGCTGGTTTGGGGTGACAGGGGTCTCGGGTGGCGGTGGGGGACCTGGAGAGACTATGCACCGAGCACAGGGACGCAGCAGCACGAGTAGGGCTGGTGGGGAGCCTCGGGCAGCCCCGCCGAGCCCTGGCATCCCCCCCAAGCGCGCCAAGGTCACAGCAGAACCGGGGTCGGCCCAGGAGGGCTCAGCTCGTCAGGCAGCACCGTGTTTTGTGAGGAAACTGAAGAATGCAGCAATCGGCACCGGCTGTGACATCCGGCTGCGGGTGGTGGTGGTGGGCAACCCCCGGCCCAGCCTCCGCTGGTACCGAAACGAGGAGCAGCTGACCCAGGGTGGGGACGAGTATGGCACCCTCTGGATCCGGGACAGCAAGAAGGAGGATGCCGGTGTGTACACATGCGTCGCTGAGAATGAGCAGGGAGAGGCCATGACCAGTGCTGTGTTGGCCATCATTGACATGGAAGGTAAGGGTGACGTGGCCACCAGCATGGCCGTGCTGGCACAGACCTTGGCACGGATTTGCCGAGGCTGGCAGCAGTGCTTTGCAGGCTCCTGCTGCAGTGCGTGCCCTGGGGCCTGACAGGGCTGCTGAGCTTTGCTGTGCCCACCCTGCTGCAGGCTGAGGTGCCCGGTGCCGGCAGCACTGGGGCGGCTCTCCAGCCTGGAGCGAGCATGTGGCTGCAGTACCCGCTGCCAGGCCAGGCTGGGTGCCAGGACTGGGCACAGAGCATGTGATGCCAAGCCTGCTCGGGGCAGGAGGAGAGAGAGAGAGAGAGAGAGAGAGAAAGAAATGGGGATTGGGCACATGGTACTGGTGGCACCATCCACCACAGCCACCAACATGGTCCTCAGTACTTCCCACCAGCTGCCCACAGGCACAGCTCCCGTAGAATCACCATAATAGCTTTACCACGCCTTGGAAATGCACTGGGTGAACTGGAACGCCTATGGGGCTAGGAGGAGGAGCCTAACATGTCAGAGGTGGGGCTGGCAAGTAGGTGGAGCCTGTGCCCTGCGGTGGGCGAGACCTGGTGCTTAATTAGCCATTGCGAATTAACAGGCATTTGCTCATCCCTATGGCAGCCCCTCTGCTCATCACCCCTGGGTGTAGCAGTCAGAGAGGGAGTGCATGGGGACTGCTGCCCTTGCATGAAGGGGCTGCAGGTTTGGAGCTCAGCCCCCTCTGCCCCATCATTATGGAATCATGAATCATATAATTACTTATGGTGGAAAAGGCCCCTAAGATCATCAATCCAACCCTTAACCCAGCACTGCCGAGTCTGCTGTTAAACCATGTCCCTACTGTGTGCTGCATTTACGTGTTTTCTGAATGCCTCCAAGGATGGTGACTCCACCACTTCCCTGGTCATTCTGTTCCAGTACTTGACAACCCTTTTGGTGAACAAATTCTTCCTAATGAAGGATGGATGCAGCCTCCCTAGGACATTGAAGGCCTGAGTGTTGGGGAGCATGGAGGCGGGTGGCACTGCTCTGAGATGTGCTGTCTGCATGGGGACAGTGAGGACAGGGAGTGAGGGAAGCAACCCTGAGCCCTGAGGCTCCAGGGAAGGAGCTGCACCTGGGACTCTGCAGCACAGGAGGCACCCTAGAGATGCTGCACCTTGAGCAGGGGCTGGATGACTGTGGCAGGTCAAAAGGAGCCTTCACAATGCTGAAGGGGAGCACTGAGCTTGGAGTCTGAAGAAGTGGTGTTTGGAGGATGGAGGAAGGTTTATGTGCAGGTCAGGAGCCTGGTGGGGTAGCAGGAGGAGGAGAGAAGTATGCAGCCGGAATTCTGCCCTGCAGTATGTGTGGAGTCATTGTGCATCACACTTTTGGGGACCATGGGGCAGTTGGATGTGGGGTGAAGTGTGTGCAGAATGGGAGACATGCACTGCCCCGAGGGAGAGGCAGCCTGTCCTGGGTGGACAGCAGGGGGTCACCCTGTTTTCATGCTCTGGTGTGCAGCTGCACCTCTCCATGGCCGCACCAGTCTGGGCCCCACTGCTGCTGCCCAGCAGCACAGCACAGTCTGA